ACTGATGCAAACTGCACCCCACCCTCCTCTTCCCTGCAGATGGGGATCTTGCTCAAGGTCAGAGAAGACTGAGGTGACTCCCACATCAGTGTTATTGGGAGGACCTCAGCCCGTGGGGCGCAGTGGGAACCTTGGATGTCTTTGCCAAGTTCTCCCCTCACTTAAGCACCTGCATTATTGTCCCCACAAGTGGAGCTGTGACCATGGGGTTGGGCTCTTTCTTTCTCTTCCTCTATGTTGGGAGGTTTCCATATTTGAATAATTAAAAGTAAAAATTTCAACTTAGAAGTCTGTCTCTTGTAGGTGTCCGTCCTTTGCATGTTTCTCTCCTTTGCTTAACTCCTCAATGACGTATCTGAGAATTTTCTAGGCTACTGCTGGAGATGTGTGTGCACGGAAGGGGTAGGGGGCGTTAGAGAAGGGAAGGGTTGCCTCACAGTCAGTAATCTTTCTCTCTACATTGTGTTTTTATGCACACATGCTGCTCTCTTTTCCCCTCCCACCATGGAGCTGAACTTGCCAGGAGGAGGAAACAAGATGTTATGGTCAAGCAAGACTCAGAATTCATGCGGTGACTTGGAAAGCGTTTTAAGCAGTCTGGTGCACTGCCCTTGGAAAGTCACGATGCTGCTTCGGGATGATGGGCTTAAAGGAAAACTCAAAAGCATCTCATAGAGACCTCATCACCTATTTTCTCTGGATTTGGATTGTGGTCGGCTGGAATATGTGTCGGGTCAGGTTGAGTCAGATCAGCGCTCAGCTGAAGCCCTTTGCCGTGGTTTATGTATAGCTAGTCAGAAAGCTAGGTAACTTGTAACCACTCAGACTACAAGTCGCTGCTAGAGAGATGAGCCTCCAGAGACAGGCCTCCTCAACAAGTCAGCACAGATAACAAGAAAGTTCAAAAACATCAGTTGGCAGGAAAACTTGCTAGGTTTTTCATGACGGTGGCAGGCCAGGGTGTGCATTTGAGTGAATGAGTGAGTGAGTGTGTGTGTGCGCGTGTGTGATTTTTTGCACACTGACTAAAATATTAAAATCCAGATATCTATATCTATGAACTTAGAACTATAACTGCTGTAGTTTTCATCTGCTCTGTTCTGATTTCGAAAAATTCTGTAGCCCCAATCCTTTTTCCGCTTAAAGTGCCCCACTCTTCTTTCCCTTTTCTCACAGGCTCCTGCCCAAGCACCTTGCATGTTAGGTCAGTGTGTTTCCCCATCTCTCACCTTCAACTTCACTTTCTTCTTCTTTCCTCCACTCACTCCAGGCTGAACTCCTTAGAGCACTGCTTCTGGGGTCCTGACTCTCTTTGACTTTAGCTGAGTGGCCTTGAGTCATTTACCTCACTGCTCTGATCTCAGTTCTCTGTCTGTATAGTGGGGATAATTGTACCAGCATCACAAGTTGCTGTAAGGACTAGCTAAAACCAGACATCTGGGCTGCTTGTCAGAGTGCCTGCTACCTAGAAAGTGCTTGATAAATGCTAACTCTTATTACTGAGCCCTGCTGTGTGGAGAGCAGAGGACTGATTACTAAAGGAGTTCATGTTTAGAGTTCACGGAAACTCTTGTGTGGTACCTCTTAACTTAGCCAGGAGATGTCACTTCCATTTTCTTTCCTTGCTTCTGTGCTGCTGTCCTAGACACTTGAGGTGGCTTCTCGCTGCATGTTCCCCCCATGCCTTCCTTGCTACCTTCTAAGCTTGTCATCCCTTAAGTGAATGAAGATGCAGATATTTTCTTTCCCCAAGTTTAATCCCACTCTCCTTTCTTGGCTGCCTTCCCAGAACAAAAAAATAAAGCTTCCTTTGAAGTTTTTACCATTACTGAGGTCCTAATAGGACTCTCCTCCATTCTTCCAAAGGAAAAACCTGACATAGTCCCTTAGCACCTCATTCCCCACTGCCAGGAGCCCCCTTTCAGCTTCCTTTACTTGCTTAAGGAATAGTAATATTAGCATTTGCCATTTGCTTGGCTCCTACTCTGGGTCAGAAAAAAATCCTATAATCTTTACAGAAGTCCGATGAACTAGATATGAGAATTTCCTTTATTATAGATAAGTAAACAGGAGTGTGCCTTATCCAGGGTCACAGAAATGTACATACCAGAGCTAGGGGTCAAACCCTGGTCTCTGCCTCCAGAACCCACAGTGTCCTTCTGACCCCACAGTGTCCTTCTGACCCCACCACACTGCCTCTGAGGATCCAGATATCCTCGGTTCCTCTTTCCATAGGAGACAGGTGGGGTGTGGAGTAGGGAGAGCTGGGCCTACTGATGCCCCGCTGGACGAAGCTAGTGGACCAGCAGAGGCTTTCTTCCTTTTAATAAGTGGTTCTTGAACAATCGCAATAGGGCAGCCTCTGCTAGGCACAGGATACAAAGCTGTGAGCAGAACCAGACCCAGTTCTCCTTCTCACAAAATGCACAATCTGATGGGAGGGTCATTAAAAATAAGTGTAAAATTGCAGCTATGATAAATGTTACAAAAGATTGATACACTCTTCTTGCTATGAGAACATATACTGAGGCCATTGACAGGAGATCTGAAAGAGGAACAGTTCCTACAAAGGAGCACTGCAAAGAGACAGAGAGCACACTCTCTTTTTTTTTTTTTTTTTTTAATGTTTTATTTATTTCTAGGGTAG